CCAATGTAAGAAACAAGAGCTGAGGTGGAATGGTGGCCCTCATCAGCTTGTATAGAACCCAGGGAGCATTGATGAGATAACACTTAAAAAATACTTAAACAAAAGATTTTTTTAATAGTACACATTTATTAAATCTGTAGATAAATATCTAGCAATCTGGAGTATGAATGTCAGTCATACAATGTCACAAGAAGACATCCTTTTTTCCACTCTCAACAAATATACACTCCTGAATACTTTCCACTGCAATACAGCCTCGGTGTGCTCTGCTAAAGAAGCACTATAGTCCACTGAACAAGGAATTAGCTGCCATTCCTAATTTTCTACACATATTTTGCCAAGAATGTCATTATTTCTTAAAAACCTGGTAGTACCTAAACAGGACCTGGACTCAAGTAGATTTGCATTGCAAAGTACTTACCGCCCTTCGAATCTATGTTTTAAAAAATCAAATAATGCTTTTTGCATCATATCGGTTACCTAGAAGCACACAAACAACAAATTAATAATCACATAGGAAACTCATAAAACCTGATGCTAATAATAATATGTAATAAAGTTGACAGTTTAATCTTATAGCTGAACAATATGATTGGAATGTAAGTAATTTATTCTTAATCTGAATTCTGATATGAAATAAATTACATGTAAGCAGGTATCTGTTAGAAGTAAAAACTATCTATGTTTTTGTCTATGACATAAATTATGTTATTCAGCTTAACTACCTTGAACATTCAAATACAAATGAAGCACAACATTTTTGGCAAAATGAAACGATTCACAATGATCACTTACCTCATATCCCTTCAGAGAAGGCCCCACTAAAACTACTGGTCGCATAGAAGGCACTACATCATAGGGAGGGATGTGCTCTGTCTGCAAAATAGAAAAGGCTCTCTAGGTGCTGCGATGCTGAAAAAGTGTTATACATTACTTACAGTATTAGGAACTCTGAATTTCCAGTGATGTCACCAACACAGGAATCACGGATTCATTAACTTTTCCTGAAAACTGATAGTACAAGATAAAGACTTAACAGGTTCAGGGATTTCTTTTGAAAAAGCTTTTCTTTGTATTTTGGTTTTCTTGCTGTTTTCTTATTTGCTCTGGATGGCTACAAAACTGCTATTCTGGAGACATTCACATGCCCCACTCCATAATTCCTAACTGGTTGATTGAAAAGAGTATTTCCAATAGTTAATGATTTGAAATGATTGGCTCTAGAGCTGTCACATCTGTTTCCCATCAAAATTTTACGCAGGCAAATTACAAAGGAGAAAAATAAAACAAAAAGAGAGGGGAAAAGCATAACACATCTCTTTTTATTTTCAGACCTGCCCACTGCTTGACAAAACATTGTGACACCACTGCAAATTCCCATGGGAGCACTCATAGTCTGACTTCCACATTTGCATCCGCAATTCACTTGCAAATGAAATCAAAATAATGACTGAACAAGTTAGTATTTATAGAAAATTTTCATAAGCAGAGCTTGGGATAGTAATCCTTCCACTTTGGGAAGTTCCTGTCACCACCCAAGAACGGATTCTGTTAGTACAATATTCACCAAACTACTTACTGATGTATTATGCACAATTTATAAAACATATTTTAAAATACAAAGATAAAAAGATTGCCTGCTTCCAAAGATTGTAAATATTTTTATATTGTTATTGAAATAAAATATAAACAAATTAAAATATTTTTCTTTAATAAATGACTATTCAATATATATATCACCAAGAATGAGTCTTATCAGAAAGAGTTTTTTGTTTGTAAGGGAGGGTTTGGTTTATCTGTGTCTTGGGGAAAAAATGATTGAAATCTAAACCCAGGAACGTGTGGGTGATATGGAAAAAGGTATGCCAGATCTATTTTTCAAATGCCTACATAGTACAAATACATCAGTCGAGACCACAGAATACAGTCATTGTTCATTTTTCAGTACTCAACGTATCCCAAGGTGTTTCACAATAACATTAAAATCAGTATATACATTCCGAAACACAAAAACACAAAGACAGACATTAATACAGTGACAGCACAAAATGCTACACAAGCAGCAGTCTAAAGCAGTCTAAAACATGGAAAACATTTTTGTGAATGTTTTTCAACATAATTTATCTTGTTTTTTGTTACCTGTAGCTTCACCAGATAATTAGTAACATAAGAATGAATACTAGAGCCCAAGGCATCATAGGCATGTGAAATGAATTTATTTTACACAGTAAAGAAGCAAAACCCTGCAATTATGCTGTGCCAGTATCAAAATGCAGCCCTCCACTGTTCTTGCTAATATTACTAATAATCTGATAAGCATATTAGAGACAGATCTTAAGAAAAATTCATTACAGATGTTGAAGTGCTTATAGCATGAGTGTCCTGATGCAACACATCTTTGTCTCAATACGGCTGACTCACCCAAAGGTACTCATGCTAGAAGTTAACCAGCTATTTGAAAATTAGGTAAAGCCCAGAGATTACCTTATTTGATGGAATATGGGGTATTTTTAAAATCAGTTCTGTGGAAACAGGCTTTTTTTTTCCTCTAATCTTTACAGCTTGAAGTAATGAAGCTGTCAGCAGAAAACTGAGTAAAAGTTATCTAGTGGAAGCATTAAAGTTCTTTAATTTAGCATGAGAGAATCTAGTATTTTCTAAGGGATTGGCACTGAGCTATATAGCTTTCACTTGCCAATTCAAATATAATATGAACACGGAATAAAAACTAGCGGTTTTGACCATACGGCTTTTGCTCAGTGGTTTGACTATGTATGATTAGTTTGGGACGCCCATCCAGTATTTACTGTAAGTGTCAGTATTACAAAAACAACTATAACCAGTGATGATTCTGATATGGAAGAAAAGAGGCACCACAGAATGAAGAGAGAGATGGAACTAGCCACCATCCAGGTCCAAGGTGGTTCATCTAGAAGCTGCATCTTTGAAAAATGCTTATGCAGGTAGCATCCAATACAGGTCAACATATATTATTCTTCCTTAGCATTTATAATTGGTTATAAATATGATTAAATAAGAAATTACTCAGAACCAAGAAACTGCTGTTGATTTCCATAGTTGGCTGTGAATGACATGGTACTTAACGGACCCTACTGAAGCAAATACTGGTGATCTTGGAAATGAGAAGGACCCAATATTATTTAAAAGAGTTCAAGAAGAAAAGATTTTATTTACTAAACATGAGAGCATCCACAGCAATGGCAACAGTGTCACTTGGCACTGTTTATAAGCACTATAACAGTCTGTTGTTACCTGTAGATTTAAGTGAGTGGTTAAAAACAAATGAATAAGAGCTATGAAGACTAAGATTTAAAAACAAAAGTAGAAATGTGGTATTTCACTACATAGTTTGGCTGCTACCTAATGTCTTGATAACTTATTCCAGCAAAGATCCTAGAAACGTGTTGCAGTTTGCTGTAACAGGATGCCAATTGCATAATTCTGCAGTTATCTGGGTTATCTATGGAGAGACATTGGCTCTCCTGGGAACCACCAGTACTATTTCCAATAGCTGAGATACTAAAAAGTCTGACTTATGGATGGCAAGAACATTTGGCTGATAATTTATACATGACAACAGGAAAAACTCAAAGTAAACCATCAAAACAAGTTTGCGGTTTTCCACTGGTCTTGTTCACCTGCAGATTTTGCACCTAGTGAATTAGAAATTTAAATACTGACTAAATTAAAAATACAATGGTTTGACTTTTGTTTTCTAAGTACAATCTGAATATCTGATTAGATTCCAATAATGATTTCAATAGACTGAATTATAAGGAAAAAAAAAAACAAAAACAAACTTGAGACAGAGAGAGAGAGAAAGAATAAGCATGCACTAGAGAGGTGCATTATATGTATTTGTTAGAAATAAATCTCTCCAATTTTTAGAAGGCCTAAGTGTGTCCTTTATTCCATCAAAAAGGATAAGTACTGTAGCAGAGCTTCACGGATGCAGTGAACTTGGGACTGTTTGTTTTCTTGTGCTGAATCCACTAACAGCTCGATACATTTCTTCCTTAATTCTAGAATAGCTGTTAATCTGGGGTACACAATGCTAATGATGCCAATGGCAGGATAAACACAGGTAATGTTGATATAAACTTACCGATTTCTGCTTCTGTTTAGCTACAGCAGCATGGAAAAGAAACAAAGAACAACAAAGCATGCATGTTATTGGCTTGTCAAAGGACGCAGACAGTTAACAGGACTAGAAATGTGACGCAGTGCAGGTGAGCAGGTGTACAGATGGGAGCTTGGAAGTCGGTGTTACCTTCTTAAAGAAGGGCATTCTTTTCTCTTTGGAGTGGGGTGATGTTACACTGTTTGCACTGGGTTTGGGGGAGCGATGGTTTGCTGGAATATCATTTTCTTCTGCATCTAAGCCAGTGGCATCTATGTCTATAGCTATATACAGACAAACAATTCAGAATTATCAGATGACAGGGAAAGTAAAGATAGGTTAAAAAGGAAATAACAGGTAAAGAAAAATAAAACTGTCCAGAGTAATAAATAAATAAATAAAAAATAGAAAATCAACCATGAGTACAAAACACAATAAAAAAAAGGGAAAAATTTAAAGGTGCAGTACATTAGGATTAGAAGACAGAAGGCAATCTGTAACAGCTACTATAACATTTTCCTCTGATCCCGTTTTACATAGCTACTTCATACACACACAGAATTACTCTTACAAAACACACCAATGGCCAAATTCTTTCTTGTTACACCAGTGTAAATCCAAACTAGTTCACTGGAATAGAGAAGACTTTCACCAATGTAAACAACAGAACTTGCCCAACAACATTTGAATTATTTTATAGCAATGAACACTAAGTCAAAATGGGTATCATAAACTGAAATTTGAAATGTCACTAGCGTGTCTATAGGAAATTAAGAAACAGAAGAAAAATCAGTTTTGAAGACAAAATCAGCCTGATACTGGTACAATAATATCTACATTTATATCAGGGTGGACTGCAATTGGCAATTTAACCATTTTAACTAAAAAACCACAGTAGTCATAAGATACATTTATTAGAATTAATTAAAAAAAGACATACTAATAGTGAAAACTAAAAAGAATGGGTAGCAGAAGAGAGGAAATTGATCCCAGCTTGTCTCAGAGACCTGGATCCTGTTGTCAAGAGCGAGGATGTAGGCAGGGCAAAATGGAAGTGAATACAATAAACCACTGCTGTTCAACCTTTACCCCAAAAGAATATAAGCACACAATGCTTATACCATACATATAAAATATTTACCCTCTTTAGCAAGTAAGTAACAACAGTTTAAGCAAAAATCATCATGGATGCAGAAATAAATGCAAAATAATAATGCAAAGCCATGTTATCCTGAATGCTGAGTTCAACAGATACCTGCTAACCACATCCGAAACAAAACAAAAGAAAACCAATCAAACAAAAAAAAAAAGCTTTCTTGTTTACAATGCTCAATCCTGATCTTAAGTAATGTATTAAATTTATATTCAGAAAGCAAGTACATACACAAAAGAAATCCACAAACATGCCGTACAACATCATCCTTGTATGTAAAGACCTTACCCACCTCTTGACACACACTGGTAACACATGCTTATCTTGCCGTGCCACTATGTCGAACTGAATCTAACTCTAAATAGATCTGCAAGCAGTATAATTTGCATTAACTTCATTAAAACCCGTATTTAATCACTGCAAACTATTACGAAACCACCTTAGTGACCTGCTTTCAGCTGCTTGATGAGTGGGACATCAACTAATACAGTGGCATGCACTATTAAATTATGCAACAAATAAATATTTCTGTCAAGCCTACTTGCAGCTACTGATTTAAAAGACACTTGGGACAGAGTTCTATTCTGCTTGAGTAAAGTATATTTTCCCATTTGAATTATCTGCAGATCTAATGCCATGATGCCTGACAATCCTTGAGTTACAGAACTGTGCCTTTGAGGCTGCCCTTGCCAGGAAAGCCTGTGAGTAGATCCGCACTCTGTTTCTATACTCCTGCTCCTAAAAACAGCCACAGAAACCACGTAACATTTTCTTCTAGCAACGCTGTTCCTTCATCCTCTTCATAAGTATAAAAAGAACATATTATCTTTTTCTTGAATACAGGCCAGCACAGATGCTATAAATCGCTCGTAATAAGGCACATTAAAACTCCTTCAGTTCTATGTTCAACTAAAATCATCAGTAAAGAAAAATCAGGGTTGTTAGTTTTTTCCTCTAAAAAAGAAATGCAGCATTTGATCAGCTAGATATCAATATCTCCTTTTTTCATTCTCAGTCTCCACACTATGTAATATCTTTTGTGTTAGTTCTTTTACTGTTAATTATCTTTAGTTCATTGGGTGTTTTTCAGTCATTTTCACCATTATCCTCATCCTGTTTGGTGGCCCATGAGGGCTGTATGGATTGATTACTATATCAATATAATATCGATTATTTAAATGGCTATGAGCCTCCTTTTCATTTGTTTTTCACTGGTTCTTCATCTTGTTTGGTTTTTTTGTTTGTTTTCTTGTGGCACTAGTTTAATATTGAAAAAAAATTCCTGACTCAAAGTCAAAAAATGAAGTTAACTTATTCAGTTACAATCTCAACTCATTGAATAATTTATGTATTTGTCATTTATTATACTGTCAAAAAGAGGAGGCCTAGGAAAAATAATTGAACTGTACTTCAAAGTCACATGAGTTCTTGTGTTAGTCACAAACTATGCCTCTCTCACCCTTCTTGGGATGTCTTAAGATAAACAAAAAAAAAAAATACTGCGGACCCAAAATCTGAAGATCACAGAATAAGCTAATGTGCACTATTCATAAATATTCTCCAAATCATCAATATAACTAAATAAATTTAACTAGATTTTCGTCTTTCTCCAGAAAAACAGGTTTCTGAAAACTACTGTCTGAAGAAATGACTCAATGCAATGAAAATTACAGCTTCACTAGCAATCAGTCAGTTGGTAACCAAAGTAGGCTGCCCATTCTCTTACCTCTAAATTCTGTGCAACATTCTGAAAATTTCATATGTTCTGCTGTCCAAGTGTTTTTAGGATACAAAAAAATATTATAGCATTTCAGGTGTTCTAACTATAAAATTACAAAATAGGTCCATGGACACTTTCTACTACAAAAATGCAGTTGTTGAAAAAGTGGGCCTTAACAGTAAATATGACAGTTTAAAGCCATCGTAAAACAAAAGATTAAGGTGTGTTCTACAGACTTGTGATGGACACATATTAGTAAACTAAACATATATTTTCCAAAAAAAAAAAAAAAAAGGGATGTAGAGAACTTAAGTGGAATTTTGATAAACAAACTGCAATTCTAATAAAGTTGGTTGTTACAAACCAATTCATGGTTTCACAGGAAAGACAGATATATTTTTCAATTAATTTAATCAAATGAAGCTACTACCATAACTTGATTGAATTCCTCTGTCTCTCTCTTAATGTCCATATAAATACTTTAAAATCTTCAGGATCATTTTAAGATGCCTGCTCTGTAGACCAGACTCCATATAAACTAATATGATTGGAAAATACATGTCTTTGCCTCAGTGGACAATGCATTAGCAACATTCATTAGTATTTTCTGATTTTGGGTATTCAAAATGTACATTTTCTCTCTCAGGAAAAGATAAAACATCCAGCAACACAGCAGCGGAATTTAGTAGAAATTTTTTTTTTTTTTAATCTTCTGCTATGCTTTTTTCAAGGAGCCAATGCCAGTTTCCTCCACCAACTCACCATGTATTTGCTTCATACCTCTTGAATCCAACCTAACTAAAGTTAAATCTGTCTGTTGATGCTCTAAATAAAAAACAGTATTTGTGAAAAATTTGTCACAAAAGGCAAAAAATATCCGGTATACTAGAATTAACGTGAAGCACATCCTCATTATCAGAATTGTGAAACTGAAAGTTCCTGTTACAAAATAGTGCCGTTCTTGGTGCTACTGCAGAAGGCTCTTGGGAATTTTTATTCTTATTGCTGCTTTTTCTCCTGTACCAGAAGGTATTTCTTGTTTAGCAGGAGTGCACAAACCAGACCAAACCTTTAACTATCCTACTGCAACGCAGTCTCATCATTTTATTACGTGTTTGCTGTAAAACACTGTGGTAAAAGCAAAGAGGGAATTTTGTGGATTGTTAACAGCCATATCATTGCCTGAACTTGCTGGCATTGACTCCATTACTTCAAACCTACCCAAACCAGCCTTATAGGGCAACGCAACCACCCAACCTTATACCTATGAAGTACAGGGAATAAGAAAAACAGGACTAAATGTATATAAATTTTAACAGATTAGGTGCATGAGTCTGTAAACTGAAGGGTTCATGACCTACTCACCAGATGATGGAGGCGTTGATTTTCTGGAACTAGGAACGATGTCACCCAAACTGGATGAAGAGTTTCCTCCTGATTTACTGGAGTAAAGCAACAAATTAGTTTGACGTTTCATAGCTTTCTCAGTGTTTATTCTAGTTTATTTATTACCTGCCTCCTAAATGAGCTACTAGCTGAGACAGAAACAGTATTTCGGCAGTGGTATAAAATATACATCTTATACAAAATCTGTGTATGTTTTGAGGACCGAGGAACTGCAAACATCAATCACGCTCCTTGTTCTGCTGTGCAACTTCATTCTGCTGCATATGCTCTTGCTACCTTATGATCTTAATGTGATCCAATAATTAATATGGCTACTGATACATAATTATTAATATTACTACTCATTACCAAGACTAATTCTTAAGCCAGTGGGCATATCTGTTTCCTTTAACAGAAGACTTATTGATAGCTCCCTAGTGAAACTGGTAGTGTGTTTGCCTAACATATTTTCATTTTAATTAAAGTACAAATTCTTTTGCTGTCTCAATACCAGGTAGCACTTAGGAAAAAAAAATTCTGTCAAACAAAGATAAAGCAGTCTAGGGTTTTGTCAAGTTCTGCTTTGTGAAAGGAAGTTTCAAGTTCTGGAAATGAATCAGTATTTTTAGTATTTTTAGTCATTTTATTTCAGCCACCATAACGAAAAAAGCACTGAAAACAATGTAAGAAAGGCTATTTCACTCTTCAAATAATTCATGTGATAGTAGTAGTTTCCAGTTTCTCCATCTTAAAATATTAATAAGCACTAGGTAAATGCATTTGTGGCATAGGACAGTGTTATCTCCAGTGAGAAGTTCTGGAGAATGGAAGCCTTTACAATTTGGAAAGGGACCAAGTCACTGTGTCAGATTTGGCTTTATCGGAAGTGTCACAAGAGGAATAAGGAACTTGATGTCCTCTTGCTGAGGACAGCACACTCATAGGAAAGGCATTTCACAGCTGGCGAATGCAGCTGAGCACTGCAGCATCCTGGTCTCCTCCTAGTGTAGACACGCTCTTCAAACCCTGCTACCCTTCCTATTGAAGTAGCAAAGCCCTTCTGGCTTCCCAAATGTTTCCCAGGTGTTTTCTCAATTCCAGCTCCATCCCGCTCAGATGTACTGGAAATATTTGTTTCCTATATACTCAAAGGGAAGCAAGTGGCATTTGCTTCCACATGTGTTAATGTTTACTGGAAAACTGCTTTATTAAGAATTCTACAGTAAAGATGACATTATTACCATCTCACAGTATTGTTTGATACATTTAGACACTGAATCTTTAATTTTATGTAATGATGGCTGCAGTCAGAGACAACAAATGACTGCACGTGAAACTTCTGTCATAAAATGCAGTATTCTTAAAAGCTGTATTTGTAGGCAATGAATTTGACAAGACTAAAAAATTTTTTCCCTAAGAGCTAACTAACAGGCACTGGCTTCAGCTTATAAATAAATTCACCAACATTTTCTGTAATCTCTAAAATCAGCTTTAAAAGTGTTTAGAAATTGCAAGATCATGAAAACAAGTAACAAATGCTAAAGAATTTAGGGAGATTGACTTTTAAGTAAAAAATTGTGCTTGCACATAGTAAATGTACTAACTGCAATGTATATTTGCAAATATTTTATGAAAATAAAATAGAATAATAGCCATTGTAGGCCACCACAGACCACCAATCTAAATAGCTACTTTCTCTCTCAAATGGCAATGACATTAATTATATAAATAAATATTACTTTCTTCACGGATTCAAAATGTTTGTAGCTGCCAATTACAATAATTAAACAGAACTATAGCACACACAGCATTAACTTCCAAGTTGTATCACAGACAATGCTACTATTTTTAATGATTTGTTGTTATTACCTGGAGTAGAATTTTCCTTGTTTTGCCTTTTGTTCGTGCTGCAGCCTCATGTTTTCTAGTTTGACTGGGCTTGGTATGAATCCTATTTCACAGCCTTCTTTTACCAACCGTCCTATCCACCAGTCATTATTAAATTTCTACAGATAAAAAAAAAAAAAAAAGTCACGTACTAAGAAATGGCTGTATTTGTGATAATTTTTTTATTATTTTTAATTTGCAGCTACACCATTTTATGTAATTCTTCCCTGCAGTTAATCACCATACTATGTTATTATGGCAATGAAGAATTGTGGTAATATTCAGAAATACATTAAAATAATTATACCTTGCAAATTATTAAAATGCTACAGTACTTAAGGAGAAACCTTCCTTCATAGACTTCATAATTCTCCCTGGCTGTTAGTTCCACCCATTTCACCATCTTAATTTTTTTCTGCTTCACAGGCTTTTCTCTTCATACATGAGAGCTGCTTTTGTTCTCCCTTGATGTTTCTCCTTGGTGGACACCAGAGATTTCTTCTGATCTGCTCCTACCCACTGCAACAATTTTTAAAGCTCTGTAATAATCTATTTTTCTTATTCCATTATATTCAGTTCCCTGTTTAAAATAAAAAATACTACTTCTCAAACTCCCCCGCTTCTCTGAACTCACTAAAATCTTCTGAAATATGACTACATTCCACTGCTTATATATGTTCTACTGCATACAGCTCATGTGATCTGCATCTTAAACATACAGTCATAGACCCACAAGGAACGGATATCTTTGGATAACTAAAAAAATGCACAATTCTACAAATGTGCAAGATAGATAGTCCAATTGACTGAATTTCAGCTATATGAAATATGAGATAATGACTACTCTAATAATATTCATTCATACATTCACAGGGGGTTTGTTTGTTTGTTTTGCAGAAGTCTGTAGAGCAGAACTATTTGCTTTTTCCTTTATTATTTATTCACCTTTTTTGGATGAGAATAGGTCACTGTTACATATGGCCCCACATGCAATACTCTAGGAGTTCCATGGGAATAACTACCGTCAAATATGAATTTTGGATAATTTGGATTATTTATGAAACTGTAAGAGAACATCTGAATGGAAAGAGAAGTTGCCTTCTTGAATCTGAAGCTATGAATGTGGATGTTATAGTGCATGTTTAATTATTTAATAAATAGTTTTAACAAGTGTACAGTTAGGAGTAAAACATGTAAAATGTGTGGGCTCCCATAAAACGGAATGAATTTCACCAAGAATACACCGTTGGTGGATCAATGATATGCAACCTAAATTGCAGTATTATCTTTCATTTTGCCTACTATGGAAATGTTGTGATGCTTGAAACCAACTTTAAGATATTTAGCTAACAAAAAGAGTAAAACAAATGCACTTTTAAGCTCATAAAATATAAGGGAATCTATAACATTCATCCAATGGGATGCCTTTATGAGTAAGAATACCAACATTTAATAGGGAGCTAATCTGGAATAGCAGTTTCTCAAAGCTGTATCAGACTGAAACATATCATTAAAATCACAACCTTTCATTGCAAAATGCTAACTAAAGATATGCATGTGCATTTAAAATATCTTGTAGGATAATATAGGTGGAGGAAGATTATAGCAATCAAGCCAATGGAGGTTGCCATTATATGGATTTGCTCTATGGTACACATGAAGTCTGCAGAAGTACTATCATTAATTTGGTAAGAGATAGATACTTTAAAAACACCATTAAATTAAAATCTGGAATTTTTTCTTCATACAAAAATAAAAACATGTGGAATTCACTCCTGCAAAGTCCCAAATCTAAAAGCTGTATCAGTATAATAAAAGGAGAATAAGATACTTTCATAAGTAAATAACACCACACATAATACTTTCTAATTTTAAAAAGCAATAGCGGAAATCTTGGTAGCAAGGTATCCAGCTCTCAAGGTGTTGGCTGGGGTGAGCGATTCTCTGTAACTGACCTGTGCACAGAGTGCCAAGGGAAACACAAATATGAATTAAATGCAAAGCAGAATTATGGCCATGCATTAAAGCCCCAAAAGATTCAGGAGTGACTATGATGCAGTGCATGTTTCTTCAAGCAGGAAGGAATCCTTCATCTTTATATGTACTGAGTTTTAATGAATGTAATCTAATAATGAAAATAAATTTCGCTCATACTCAATCACTGCAGTACTTTTCATGATTGACCATGTACATTTTGAACTGAGGTTTTTCTTGTTTGAGCCCTCTCAGCAGCACAAATTGGAGAACACTCCTTGCAGACAAGAAGAGGACATCATTGATCCAATACAGCATTACTATGCAAGCAAAAGTTATCGTAGATTAACTTAGATTTCTTTATTTTTAGCAACTAGCTAGGTATAAAATATAAAAGCAACACTGCATTTTATAGTCAAATATGGTTTTTTACTTTTCATCTGCATAAATAATTACATTTTGGACATTTCAGTTCTCCCAGCATTAACTATAGGGAGCACCAAAATTACTGAAGGAGCAATATCTGATGGGATACAGCAGCCTGGAGAGCAGGCAGGGCAAGGCCACAGAAAAGGGAGGGGGAGGACATGGCTATGTAGGGAAGGGCCGCTCCTCGGAGGACCTTCCTGAAGAGGTTTGACCTGCCCAGATGCAACAGCTGCTGCCAAACTTAGGACCAGCAAGTCCAAGTCAGACTCCTTGGGGGTCCCTTCCCACCTCTCCATCCCAGCGGTGCACCTGGCCCGGGCTCAGGGTCCCTTCTACAACCCAGCTCTGGCCTAGCACCACCAGACAGTCAACTTTCCTTAACTGCTTAGGGAGAAAACCAGGTATTTTTAAAGGCAATTAACACAGAGTGGCTGTTCTGTTCCACCTGAAGCTGCAAGAACAACAGCATTTTAATGTATATTTCCATTCCTTAGCGCTACATGCAGCCACAGACAATATAAAAACTCAGCTGAGCTAAGATTCCTTTTAAGGCATTTCTGGAGATCCAGAAAAGTTCAGGAAACTTTTTCATCCTCATTATCTTCCATGTATATTTACAGCTGAGTCTAAGTTGTGCTGTGAGGAAAAAAGCATAAATTATAACAGAAAATCTGCTAGCACTGTGTTTCTGTTCATATGGAAACAGGGGAAAGACTTGATGTGAAGTCTGAGATTACCAGCTCTTTCGAAATGCAGATGGAATAGATGACCATACAAAATCATTTAATCTAACCAAACTGAGCTGTATTTTCCAGGGCTTCCAGACTCACCAGAGAATGCTGATGGTTTTCTATTGCCAGGACTCTGTGCCTGCTCATCCCTACTTTTGTCACAAGGCAAAGCAGAGCAATTCTTTTGCACTATCATCTTCACTATATACACTTTGACTCCAAATTATCCCTTTTTTTTTTGGTGTTTCATATATAAGGAAAATTATGATCATTAGTCATCAGTATAAAGGCATTAAAAGTCCATTTCTTGTGTTCCCTTAGTCTCTGTCCACCTGTATTTCCCGCTGTGTATTAGGAATTTTTCTTGTTTCCGCAAAGCGCCTGCACTAGCAGAATCATTGTGTATCACCAATCATAACTACTGAAGGATTTTTCAATAATAATAAAATAATAATAAAATGGGGCAAAGTTATAATTTCAAATGCATGGCTAAGTTGCTCTCATCCTTAAGCTAACTTTCTAGTTCTTCTGCTATAAATTTCCATTTCCAGATGGACCATTTTGTGACAAAACACAATGGAATATGACCAGAAGCTGGGAAATCTCGTAAAATGAAGGAATCACATAAAATGAGGGAATTCATAAGGGAGCAGTGGGCTGCTAAGGAAGGCCTGTATGGGAAAGTTAGCAAGTTATTTGCTTTGGACTGTCTTGCAAGGAGCAGAGAAAGAACAAGAGTTTAAGCGTTTGAAACTGTAAAACTTGAAAATTTTCAAAGCAACACAACAGAAAAAGAAAACCAATGCAGCAAATGCAAAGCACCTTTTTTGACAGTTGCTATGTGCATCTTGAAAGTTATCATGTCAGTTCTTCAGTATGTAACTGTTAACAACAAAATATTCTCTGTGCCAGGGAAGTAACTTCAGTGGAAAAAAAAGAGACCTAAGGATTTTGGGTTTTTTTGAGATTAAGTCACACAAATAAAAGAGAATCAACCCTTGGCTGCTAAATCACAATGAAACCTCAGAGTGCTAGAATGGTAAAACCCACAGATACTACATCTCTGAATATGCAGATGAGGATTTTTAAAGCTCCAAATAAGTGACAGTTAATAGAGAAGAAAAGCTCTTGATTTCCAAACTTCATTAATTTGATTGTAAGGAATTTGTGCCATTGCTTTTATGAGAATAGTGTTTCAAAGAACATTCAATTTCTTATATACAGTTACCTTATTTATATAACATTTGTGCAGTGCTTTGACAACGTGAAGCATTCTTTGACATTAAGAAATAGGTCTATTACTCAAATAGATCCTTAAAGTGAGATTCATTTACTCCTTTAGTTTTACTTACTTCTTTAACATGAAGAAAATCTTTAGCCTCAAATGAGATGGCCATGCCTGGGACTGGAACATCGTCATCGTGAGCTGCACTATACCCAACATTTGTCCGAACTGCAAATGCAACGGGTTTTGTCTGCAAAAGAAAAGATAAACAGCATGAAGATTTCCCTTGCAAATACACAGAGAGGATGATTTCTGCAAATTATCTTTTAAAAATCATAACAATTACAAAGAACACTCAAAACATCCATGTAAAACATTATGAAGCCTCACGTTTACTTACCTCAGTTATTTAGTATCAACACATTTGACAGAATACAAGATTTTTACCTAGCTACTAGTGTTCTGAATTAATTTGGGATAAGTCAAATCAGTAATCATAAACCAGGTGGCAATCCATATACTATGCTCAGTTACAATGGCATTGCACAGCAGATCTTCATTTGGCTAAGATTTATTAGAGATTTCTAACCACAGTTCAGTACTGAGGTGGTCACGCCTCACACTTGTGTTGCAGTATTTTTAAGAGGTGCGCTTGAATTTCATGGAGTGTTTTATCCTGCTTTCATGGCAATTACTGGACCCCTGTCAAATTCAGAAAGGAATGAGAACAAGGGAATCAGATTTCACGTTATAAGCACTTGAAGTTTAAGTTGCAATGGTTTACTATGCTTTGCTAATAAACAAAGAGATATAATATAGATTTGTATAATAATAAGAATTTAAGTATACCATTTCAAAGTAAAAGTAATGAAATTCAAACATGGTATAATGGCCAAACCTATTGTAATTTGCTTCCACTGCCTATGGAAAGAAGATTAAAAAGAAGAATGAAGCACTTTTTCAGGCATTCATATTCAAACCTGAGATCTCAACATTGGCACTAAGCAGTTACCTAACCCTGGATGGGCATAAAAATTAAGTACATCCTCTCTGGCTGAGCTGAAAGTCCCTATGCACTTGCAGTTCTGCTGCCATGCTTGCTCAGAGCTACCTCACGCTATGAAGGAGCACGTGCCGGCCCCCACCTAGTCTTCAGGAAAATTACAAATTAGGAGGAGTGGTGCCAGCAGCTGCCAGTGACCTCTGAGCAAAACATCTCAGTGCAGAGCCATTCTGAGAGTGCGGTAATGTGCCCTCAGATCATCAGGTTGTTACCGAATACAAGCCACAGAGATTTGCTGGTTCCCCTAATTCATATTACAACTCATAGCAGTAATTGGTATCGGTGAGTTACAGGATTTTCACAAGTTTTATTTTTAAGAAGCAGTTGCAAGAAGACTCAGTGGCTGCAGTGGCTCCACAGCTGCCCTTCAGCCTCCTGCACAGCTTCTCCTTCCAAGCCTCACCAGTGCTGAACACCTTCCTGCACAGACACAGTTAAGCAGGTAGTAGAAGCTGCCATCCAGCTCAGCCCAGCCTACAGCTATAGAGGGCGTTCTTTTATCAGAGGTACAATCAGAATACAGGAGTTCTGGTTTATTCTATGCCAAACAACACCTTGAGCTTGCTCTCCTGACAGAGGATATCACACCATATCCCTGGGACTCACTGTTGTCCTAACCCAGGCCAAACTATTAGCCCCCCCCCCAAAATCCTCCACACTGCTCTTCTGATCTAATCTGAAGGTCCTATACGTGACGGCTGGTAAAATAGTTTTAAAGATGTGAACTGAGTCTCAGAGGTGCTCACAAGTGATTGAGGAAGGCGTGACATAACTTTTCATCTTAAAATACACTAAAACTTGTACCAGACAACAATTTTAGCTTTATTTGTTGCTATCCATCATCACTTTGGCTTGGCTAAAAATATGGTATTTTGCTGAGATGACAAGCAAAAAAATATATATCCTTTCCTACATAAGGAATTGCTTCCATTTATTCTTGAAAAAGAGAATATGAAAATGCATCCCCTACTTCATGACAGCAAACCTGAATACCTGAAATCAAAAATCGTGTTATATTTTTCTGACTACCAAAAATCCCTGCCTGCTCCATCCAGGACTACTCTGACAACTTGCATAGTGCTAGAGGAGAGAAATCTGCCACGTTAAAATACATGATAAAATAATGAGGGAGAAATATTAATTCTAAAGACAATATCATGCCACCTGGCCTAGAAAGGACAGTTGGAAATAAAGGGAGAGAAGGTTCCCTGTTGCTTAATTTAGGTTTAATGTGCTGTAAAAGCCACAGGGTTCCAATAAAGCAGATTTTAAAACTCCTTAAATAGGCCTGTATTTGAATGAACTACCACAGTCAAACCATTTACATCTAAGTGCACGTTCTAGGAAGGCTTTTTAATTTAGAAGGAGAAACAATAAGCCCTTTCATAACAGTGGGGTCAAGATAGTCTCTGTGTCCAGAAGTGAGACAGGCAGTTTCAATGGAAAGAAATTTTGGAAGGGGATTGCAGAATGGGCTTCATGTTTATGTGGTATTGTGGAACTAAATTTGTATTTATACAAAGAGATGATCAAGAAATTATCGGAAAAGGACTTTACCCCACCTGTTCTTCTTCTGGAATTAGTGGAAAAATCTTAAGGATCTTAAGAAAGGTTGGGTAGAAGGGCTCTAAAGACTGAAACTGTTACCATTTAAACAGGCACTTATTTAAACTGGAAAGCCTATGGCAGACAAAAAAATAAATACAGCTGAATATAGTTACGGGTTGAAATAACAAATTCCGAGTCCAGTGTCTTTCTTGGTGTTTAGCCACAATTGGAATATTGCAAATAGTTGACTGCTTTTCTTTCCAGGTCACCTGTTCTAGAAAAAAAAATTATAAACTAACAAATTAGAGTACTATGTGAAACGCAATTATAAAATAGACAGTAATTTTTAAAGTGTCTGTTTTCTTTCAACAAGGAAAATCCTATTGCTGTTGGAACATGTTGCAGATGTCACTCAATAGATATAGGTTATATAAACAACTTGATTATATTTGCACTGTGCAACAGAAAAAAGTTCAAATCAGAAATAATATTTAAAAAATACACAGAAACAACTGATAAGTGGATCAAATTCATCCATTAACAGGAAAAATAAGTAGAAAAATATGTATAACGAGAGAATCAGTTTAGATGAGTTTACTAGATGTTCTTATTAGTCACCATCTTATGGTAGAAAATGACAGCTACAATTTTTTTTATATATATAAAAAACACAATCAAAACCCAATAGCTGGCTTAACTCATTGTGTTGGGCATCTTTCTCATACCCTGAACTCTTGCAGTGTGCTGCAAAAGGAGTTTAGGCCCCTAACACAAATTTCTGGACTCCAGTATGAGAAAGGTATGTAATGCTAGGCACACATGTCCCTTAAAAAGCCCTTAATAAGTTCACCTTGTCATGACACAGATGAGCTGTTAGAAGGGCATCTAGATGTGATTATGCATTCATGATTACATTTCTGAAAACGGGCATTTATGAGAATGATCATCCAAAAAATAAAATTTGGTGATCCTTCCACATCAATTTACAAACCTTGCAGTGTTGATGCAACACAGGTACGTCCACTTCCTAGCAGCTCAAATTCATATCTTATTCAACTCTTCTACAATTCTCTCAGTTGTTACTAGCAGTCAGTTACCCTACATAAAAGACAGCTAACTATTACAGAACTAGGCATGCCACAAAGAAAAAAAGTTGTCACACAGGCACTGAATTCAGTGATATCATGTATCTTCCTTAAAAATAAAAGATAACAAATTACTGGGGTTTAATACCCCACAACTTTCCTGAATTTAAAAATTACAGACTAACAGAGTTGATGTTTTCTATGCTATTACTCATTTCAATACTGAAAATACAGATATGAATAAGCATTAAATTGTCAAATCTGCTAAATAATACTTTATCATTAAATAGTACAGCATGGAATAAATAATTCATCGTTATTTAGAATTATCTTTTTGTAAAGCATAGTAAACTGTCATTGTAGAAATGTATCTCAGAACAAGAATGGTAATATTAAGGAAAAATCTTTACCAAACACTGATGGGGGGATAATATGCTTGCTTATCCATTCTCACATTTGCGATATCCTCTAGTGAATATAAAAAATGCTCAACAGAGTATTGTGACTTACTCGTAATAGTATCAGTGGATGAAAGACTTTAGGCTGACTAAAGACTTTAAAATCTCTGCTGCATTGCAACAAACAGACATCTTCAGCAAGTTAATGTCCTTGACATACTTCTTAGAAGTGATCTAAAATTTCCTATAAGAGGGTGACACCTGACTACCCAAGAAAAAGAGAAAAATGGAAACTACTCCAGTACTGTCGTAACAGGAAAGATAAGTAGCAGGTAAAAAATTCTCTGTCATTTTCTGCTATCAAAAAAATTAATATAAAAACTCCGAGTAGAAAACCAAAGCAGAACATTGAACTACAGATATTCACAGAAACGGTATGTCCCATTTTAGATACTTGTCATACTGGTAGAAAGGGAGATTGAATTACCACGGGATTAGGCTGCAATAATTCTTCTAATTGAATATTTAAAACTAATTAATTTATAAAAGTTAAATGCTAGTCTTTTTACATAAATACATAATTCTGCAAGTTTCATAGAACTGTCAAATTAACTACTCTTTCTTTTCTTGAACTACATTGTCTTGAAGTAAAAAAATCCAGTTGTTATGTAATTAGGGACTTATGTAAAAAAAAAAATCTCTTTTTTTTTTAACATATGCATACATGTATTTAAAAATATATCTAGCATTTGCTTACATATTCTACAGTTCTAAAATTAGACTGGGTCAAAACAGTTAAGCACTTTCTGTTCATTCTCTAAATCTCCGTGAAAATGTGATGGCAGTTAAGCACCCAGTTAATCCACAGAGTGGACCTCAAGGACAGATGCTCCCAGATGTTAAACAGTTTAACATTTCATCTCTCTCAAGAGAAGCAACATAGCTTGAAAAAGTCCACTTATCTTCAGAATGAACATTTCCACCTTGTTTTTCTTTTTTCCCCTTGTAAAAACACAACAGACGGAATAACCCCACAAGGAGAACCATAACCAGACCATGAACATTACCATCATCTGTACCACTAGGGCAGCAGGGAACACAGTCTGGAGTGGGGTTCTTCATGAACCAATTTCAGCTTCTGATCTAAACTGAGAAT